ACAACAGGACTCTTCTTGAAGTCCTTCCAGCTCTCTAGGAACCTGCCACAGCTTGGGCTCTGCTGGCACAGCTTGGAGCACCCAGGATCCCCTCAACACAGCAATGAGGACCACCCTCACCCCCCAGTGTCGGTGGCCTGAGTGACAGGACCTGATTACTTTGGAAATGTATAGCAAGGAGAAAAAATACCACCTAAATGCCTCACATCATGTTTGGCTATGATCACATCCAATAATAGTCAGCAAACATTTATTAAGCACCTACTACGTGCTAGAGATACAAAGAAAGGTAAACAGAACATTCCCTGCTCTCAACAAGCTCACAGTCTAACGGGAGAGACAATTATCTACAAACAAGTTATACACAGGATAAATTTGAAACAAGCCACAGAGGGCTATAATATTCATAACTGACATGTTCCTTCCAATAACCTCGTGGGGAAAGTAATATAGGTAGGATTATCCCCACTTTATAGTTGAGGCGCCTGAGGCTTAGAGAGATCCAGTGATTTGCCCATGTTCACCCAGCTAAAAAGTATCTGAGGTAGGAAGGAGATAAACCCAGCTCTCCCCTGCTTCAAGGTTAGCATGCTATTTACTAGGCCTCACACATCAAATACATGGTGACTGTAGAAATAGGATGACGAGAGAAGAGAAGAGTTTTTCTTTCACTGCAACAAGATGGAGTAAGGTAGCATTGGCCCAGGTACCATTGGGAACGTGTAGTGCTTCTGGAAACATCAAGAGCCTCATTGGCCAAATATCTGCCCCAAGGTTGATTTATAAGGTTCTTAAAATGGTCAGGTGATCCCCTTTCATCCCGTGTGGGTATACTGCTTATCACCATATGCCTCCTTCCTTTGGAATCTGCAGCTTCCATTACTTAGACTACTATGGAAGCTATGGAGTAGTAATATATCCCAAAGCTGTCTTGTCTCTTCCAGTCCACGTACTTTCATCTTCTTTGATTAAAACAAACAAACAAAAAATCAAATATTCAAACAAGTCTACCTTGGAATCTCAGGTACTTGACGAAAATAACGTTCTAGGCTTTCTTAAAGAATGGTAGATAATGATTAGTTCCAGCTGCCTCTGATTCTTTTTGCCATCATTTCTTTCTTCACTGAAATTTGGTTGTCGTTGGAAAGTACATTCTAGTTTCAGGCACCAGACATATTCAACCTAAGAAAAAAGTAGAGAAAGGTTACTTGGTGGTGATATCAAATGGAGCCAACTATCATCTGTGTCCATCAAGGGGGGGAGATGGGAGTGAAGCTTTCTAGGCCCATTCACTCCCACCCTGAGTGATATTCCCCCCTTCACAGGATCAAAGATCTGGAGTTGGGAAGGACCTCCGAGGCCATGTGGACCAATCACTTCAGTTTTATATTCAAGGAAACTGAACCTCATGGAGGTTCTCTGACTTATCCAAGGTTACACAGGTATTAAGTGTCAAAAGTGGGATTTGAACACATCTAACATCACACATTAGTGCAGAGGAAAGAGCATTGACTTTGGAATCAGAGAAACTTTGTCGCCATCTCCGCTCATCGCATACTTTCTATATGACCTTGGGTAAGTCACTTGATCTGTGGATGTAAATATTAATTCACTTAACTTACTTTCCCCATCCCTAAAATGAGGGAGTTGTGCTGGATGGCTTTCTGGGGTTCTTTCCAGAACTAATCTATGAATGAATGGACTAAATTTTGACCTGGAAGAACACTTTGATAGAGGTCATCTTTTCCTACCTCCTCATTTTATGGGCTAGGAATTTGAAGAGATGAAGTGATTTGTAGGCATTTGCACACACAGAAAGTAGCAGTCAGGATTTGAACCCAGGCCTTTTGACTTCAAATCCAGTGTTCATTCCTATCCACTCTGCTGTCTTCCTCTAACCTCATGGTTTTAACTAGGTCCCTTACTTGGCAATTAATCATGTACCTTTTACTATATCTACCTACCTCATAAGGTTATTATAGGGAAAGTTATTTGTACCCCTCAAAGTGCTATGTAATGCTGATATTATTGTTGATGTTATCATACTGTGTTATTCAGCTTTTTGTAGATTGATGCCTTGTCTCCCCATCCAGAGCATAAGTTCTCTGAGGGCAGGAACTGTGTGTCTATACCTCTCCATTCCCCCTATAATTCCCAGCATATTTGGTTGGCACATAGTAGACACCCAATAAACTTTTATTGATTCCTTTTTGATTCAGCTCTCAGCTTAGGATTAGATGATAACAGAACATTAGTCAGAAGAACTTTAGAAATCATCTAATCCATGCCTCTCATTTGACATATGAGGAAACAGAGGCAGTGTAACATATCCTAAGACACAAGGAGTTGGTGGAAGAGCTGGTATTCAACTCCAGGTTCTCTGACTCCGTCCACTATTCCGCTGTCCCTGCTGTGCTTTGTCTCTGTTCTCAGATGGACTCCAGAGAAGACTCAGTAGCCCCAAAAGGAATCATGCCCCACTCCCTTGTTGTTTTTGTTCAGTTGTTTCAGTTGAATCCAACTCTGTGTGAGCCTATTTGGGGTTTTCTTGGCAAAGATACTGGTTTGCCATTTCCTTCTCCAGCTTATTTTACAGATGAGGAAACTGAGGCAAACAGGGTTCAGTGACTTGCCCAGGGTCACACAACTAGTGTCTGAGACCAGATTTGAACTCAGGTCTTCCTGACTCCAGACCTAGCACTGTGCCTCCTAGCTGCCCTCTGGCAGTTAATAGGTGATTCATAAATGTTCTTTGAGTGAATCTACAGAGTCTTCTTAGCCTGTATGGGCTTTTTTTTAAAGTGCAGCTAGGTTCAAATTTGGTCTCAGACACATAACACTTAGTAGCTGTGTGATCTTGGGTAAGTCACTTAACCCTGATTGCCTAAGATGGGGGAGGGGAGTTTATTAAGCACCTTTGAAGCATTGTGGTAGACCTGTGGTTCTCAATTTTTTTTTTTTTGCTCGTGGAAGGTATCTTTTGCCATGTATGAGGAAACATGGCACCATACAGAGAACCCCGCATGTGATCATAAGTCTGAATCCCACACTAGTTGGGCAGACTTAGATGGGCCTGTGGTTGCAAATGTACGTTATATATGTTGTTTCCAGGACACCTACCTGAAACTCTCATATAGGGACACATCCGTTTGACATGGTAGGCATTTGGGAGACCAAAAGTTTGGATAAAACATGATTTCTGCCCTCCTCTCAGTGTAGCAGGAGCATGGGGCCAGCAGCTTTAATTCCTTGCATTACATCAGAACTAGAGAGGTATCCCTAACAAAATGCTCTGTGATGTCTGAGGGGTGACGGTCATTACTTCCTGACCAACAAGGCTTCCTAGGGGAGGTAGCTTTGAAGTTAGACCTTAAAGGATGGGCAGGAGTTGGAACAGCAGAAGAGGGAAGAGGAGGTCATTCCGGGCATAGGACACAGTGTGAACAAGGCAAAGAGCCCTGAGACCACGGGGTGTTGAGGGCTGAAAGCTGTCTGCTTCGACTAGGGCATAGGGTGTGTGGAGCATATGGGAGAAGTTTGGAAAGGGTGATGGCACCAGGGTGTGGAGCACCTTGAAAACCAGACTGAGGAGCTCCAACTTTTACTTGGTGGGTATTCAAGAGAGCGACATGCAACATGGTACAGTGGGAAGGTCACACTGTCTAGCAAGGCTTGGGTTCAACTCTTACCTCTGTGTGATCTTGGGCAAGTCACTTACCCTTTCTCAGCCTCGGTTTCCTCATCTGCAAAATGGGGATAATCTTACCCAGAACTAAATTTCCTTATCTATAAAATGGAGAGATTAGATTAGATGATATTTGAGATCCCTCTCAGCTCCAAGTTTATGATCCTATAATCTATGACCAAATCTTTGAATAAGAAAGATGATTCTGGCAGCAGTACCAAGGGTGGGACAACCAAAGAATACTGTCCAGGCACAGCCCCACCCTACCCAGCCACTGAACAGTTCCTGCTCCCTCCCCTGGCTCCACATTAGCCTACAGGACAGCGGGCAAAAGTCTTTTGGCATCGGCGGACCTTGGCTCTCAGACACACTATTCTTCTCTCAGACTGTTATGAAGCGTTTCCTTGCTCTCCAGGGCTTTTTGGACTCTGCCTGGAGTGTTTGGAGTCTGATTGTACTCAGTCAGGCTTTGCTGTTGTTGAGTCATTTCAGTCATGTCAATTCAGTCATTCAGCTCATCTTGACCCCATTTAGGGTTTTTTGGGCAGAGATACCGGAGTGGTTTGCATTTTCTTCTCTAGCTCACTTTACAGATGAGGAAACTGAGGCAACCAGGGTTGAGTGAGTTGCCCAAGGTCACACAGTTAGTAAGTGTCTGAGGCTGGATTTGAACTCCTGAAGATAAGTCTTTCTGATTCCAAGGCCTGTGCTCTACCCGCTGTACCACCTAGCTACCTCTCTCAATTAGTTTAGGCATCTTTAAAGTAGGGTTGAAACTAGCTCTTTGAGCCTATGTTTTGTTGGTGACACAGTGGATAGAACACTGGGCTTAGAGTCAGGAAGACCTGAGTTCAAACCCAGCCTCAAAATGGGGTCACAGAGAGTCAGACATGACTGAAACAACTGGATAACAAATTTGTTGTTGTTACTGTTTGTTTGCCTTATTGGACTTTGTTACTTCTTCCATACTATGTAATTTTTCTCAAAACTATTAGAATGTAAGCTCCTCAAGGGCAGGAATTGTCTTTCCTACTTGTATCTGTGTCCTAAGCACTGAGAACAGTGACTAACATTATAAGCACTTAATAAATGCATTTTCTTTCCATTTATTCGACCTAAAAGGATACAGTTTTGACCTGTTGACCAATCCTCCTTGTCAGGCTACTTTAGAAGGAGTAGTAGAGATTTAAAAAAATGGAAATAATTAAGTATGCCTTTGTCCAGGAGGGTGGGGAAAGCCAGAAATGGAGAAGGAATAAAAACCATTTGTCGCCACTTTTAATTCATTTTGTGTCTTCTTGTGATTTGATCACAGATAGCATGTTTGCTGAGACCATGGCCTCCTCTCGTCTCAGTAACACTCGGTTCAGCACTTGTGTCCCACAAAGTAACCACGACTCAGCCAACTTCAACAACAATGAACTGGAGAACAGCCAGGTAGTAGCCAAAATCAGCAACTTGAACCTGAGCCGGGTCCCCAGCGTGTCCACGGACAACCATGTGATACCCTGTTGTCCCAATAGGCGTTCTCGGGGCCACGGAGTGCCTGCCTTTTTAGACACAGACCTCCACTTCCACCCCACCCGAGGGCCCGACGTCACCTTCTCTCAGGACCGGATGGCAGCCTGCACCAACTGGCAGGAGAGCAGTAGGACTCTGGTGTTTTCAGACCGGCCTTTACACATTGGTGAGAGCCTCTTTGTGGAAGTTGGACACCTGGGCCTGCCCTACTACGGGGCTCTCTCCTTTGGCATCACTTCCTGCGACCCAGGGACATTAAGGACCAATGAGCTCCCGGCTGATCCTGACTCACTGTTAGACCGCAAGGAGTACTGGGTGGTGTACCGAGCATTCCCCATCCTCAACAGTGGGGATGTCCTCAATTTCATGGTATTGCCAAATGGGGAAGTGCACCACGGCGTAAACGGCAACAACCGAGGAATGCTGATGTGTGTGGATACCTCACAGTCTCTCTGGGTGTTTTTTACAATTCATGGAGTAATCAATCAGCTCAAGATTTTGGGTAAGTCCATTTTTTAAATTAATTTATTTTGAATTATCAACAATCACTTCCATAGGCTTTTGAGTTTTAAATTTTTCACCCCCTCCCTTTCCACCTCCCTCCCCAAGAA